TTTTTTTTCTCTTCCTGTTGACACCCATCATTTACCAACGATAAATCAAATAATAAAAGCATCAATTATTAATCTTATAATATTTTAATTAATTATAAATTATTTTTATAGTTAGTTATCTTTACACGATTCTTATATTTTTAAAAATTATATTAGGATCTCTATATTTGTTAATGGGAATGTGATTCATATTTTAAGATTTACTACTGAATACGTTATTTTCATTAATAGAATTATTAGTGTGAGACGAAACGAGATTAAATATTTTCTTTTATAAATATAAAATTATTATTATAATTTTAAAAAAATATAAAGATCGAAATATTAAATAATCCGGATATAATAATACTATTGTTAATTACGTTACAAACGTACACACGATCTGTGAGAACAAACACAAAGGGGGTCGCATCTAACAGAAGGCCGGCCGACCTGACTCCCGCTTCTCTTCTCTCCTTCTGGTTTTGTCTTTTGCTCCCGCATCCCATCCTCCCTCGCTCGCTTACCCACCCCTTCGGTCGTCCGCCCGCTGCCATGTTCTCCAAGCTCTTCCGCGTGTGCAGGGACGACTCCCACAGTTCTTCCTCCGAGAAGCTGAAGCAGGTGTTCTCTCTCTCTCTAACTATCTGTAAATTAGGGCATTGCACTTGTTTCTTTTGTTAGGGTTCGCTTGAAACCCTATCGTTGCGATAGTTGTTCCATTGCTATTCGATTGATTGGATTTTCTTTAACTGCTTATAAGACGGGCGATTCGATTGTGCCCGTTTTGTTCTTCTCATGTGAAGAATTGCCATCGTTTGCGGTTCTTGAGAACCATTCGTGAAATAACCGGGCAAGGGATAATTTTTTCTTGCTACTGGTTCATAGGTAACTAGAAATAGGGGGATTCTTTTCTCTCCTGATGGTATGAGCTCGAACAAGGGTTCTGTCGGACGCAAAAAAAAAAAACTCTAGGTTTCAAAACAAGTGAAGAAAATATAAAGAAGAATTATGGAGGAATGCAAATGATGTGTGTATGAAAGGTATGTGGGCAGAACAAGTCCTTAATGTCAAAAGAACAATCCAAAGAAACAACAATAAAATACAAACCCGGAGAATAACAAACATAAAATTTACGTAGTCCATCACTACTTCCCTACATCCACGGAGGAAAAAAACTCAAATCCTTCACCTATTTGAGCAAAATAAAATACTAAGAATATTACATTCTCTTGGGTTAATCCAAACCTAAACCTGAAGTCCCTTGTACACTCTCTCATATGAACTCTGAAATCACCCTATCAAAGGCTTAAGATACAAGAAATATTTATACAATAACCAAATATGAATTTCTGAGATTTTTCTTACCATTCTTCAATTGAATTCCTTGTCCTCCAAGCAATCTGAGTTTCCTTGAAATACATATCAACCTTTACAAGGCAACTATGAGATCAGAGAAATTGTGACCCTCCGATTAACTACTGTCGCCATGATTCGTCTGTATGCATAATAGAAGAGAAAATACTCCATTAATTTATTATCTATCCTCTCTGATTTTTTTTTCTTGAGGATATCAATGTCTCAATCTATGGCATGTCAAGCGTTTGATCCTGCTTGTTTGCAGCCTTCACACTTGTCTGCTTGGCTTCCATATTTGCTCGGCCCTTGCAGCCCATGTGAATACAGTGGATTTTTGCTTATGAGCTCTTCTTACGTGAAACTACGGTTGGTTTATTTCACACGGAATTCTGGAAGTATCTATGTTGAGCTCAATCATTTGAAATGTTATGTAGTGGCTCACATGATATTTCCTTTGCACCCTAGTGTTATTGCTCAAGCTGTGTGATTATGGAGCTTCCGTTAGTTCTCATTCTCCTTTATCCAATTCTAAATGACTTCTACATTGAGCTCATTGCCTTTACTGTTGCATGATTGTTCACATGGCTTTTTCTTTGCACCCTTAAGTTATTGCTCAAATTGAACGCTATCAATCAGTTCTAATCTGGGTTGAGGAAGCTGTTTTTGTTCATCCATTCTACTCTGCATGGTTGTCTTTGAGAGATGTTCTATGACAGGAAGTCTGCTTTAGTGGAGATGCAACAGGAAGGCACATGCTGGAACCTGTTTGAAGCTCTTTTGTTGGTATCAGCTAAAGATATTATCATCAAAGTATAGGTTTTCTTTTGTTGTCATTTCCTTTATACACACACACACATACACATACATTTTTTTTTGTCAGACAGTTTGGCGTAATTTTTAATCAGCCATTTAGCTTTTAGTATGACACACTTCTTGTCTTTCTTTCTCTGAGCAAAGTATCGTAGTAAACCAATCTCCTAGACTGTGGGCATATACTTGAGTCTTCAAATTTCCAAGGAATGTGACTCTTTAGATTTATGCTGAATCAACTAATTTACATTCAATAAATGTTGTGGTATGTTGTCCAATAAAAGATGTTTTTTTTTTCTTCTGCTACAGACTCTAAAAATACTTGAGGAGAAGGAAGTTGTCTTGCAAAAGAAGATTTCTCAAGAGGTTGACAGAGCAAAGGGATTCACAAGGGCAAATAATAAACAAGGTTGGAAGGAATTTACATATTTGAACGTCTATGAATTTTGAAACTCAAGTGTAATAGAAACAAGATATATGCGTGCAATAATTTCTGATGCAAATCATCATGTTACAAACACAGCTAAAAACATGGTACATCAGCATGCCAAGGTGTCTTACAACACTTCTAAGATTCATGCTGAACCAACATCAGGTTGACTGCAATTTTATTCTAGCTATGATTTTCAAAAAGATAATTTGATATGGCACATATTGGAAGGCATGTTATCTCTTGTTATGATTAAGCTTGCTCTTTTATGCAGCCCAAAAGTGCTCATCAGTATATATATGTACGTCAAATTCATTCAATTTTTAAAGATTGCATGTCATCGCCACATTAGTTTAATGAAGTTCTAGACCAAGAAAAAAAAAAAAGCCACCTTGCATGACTACTTGCGGGATTACTTAGCTGCCAAGTAGCTATGTCTGCTTTTTTAGACGGAAAAGAATATTTATCTATAATGATTACTGCAAAACTTGGCTCTTAAGATTCCTATTAATCCATAAAATATGTAATTTTCTTGAAGCATAGTCCTTTCTTTTTCTAGATTTCCTTTTTGTTCTCTAATTAACAATTGCAGCCCACATATTTAAGGCTATATCAGTGTCCTTTTTCTTGCAAGAAAAAATAATTGATTAAAGAAAAAAATATGTTGGATGAGGTTTAGAAATTGTTTCCTAATAAGTGGATCTAGTACACCACCAATATTTTAGGCCTTTTTCACCTCAATTTGTCTTTTTCTTTTCCTCTGACAGCGGCAATAGAGTGCCTGAAGAGGAAGAAGTATTATGAAGGTAAAATGGATCAGCTTGGAACTTTCCAATTACACATACGCAATCAGGTAGCAATGTATAAACCAGTTGTTTTTATTAACCTGTTGTTTTGTGATTTTTACCGGGAACCATTCGAAGAGTCCTAATTTTGCTATTTCTATTGGTTTATGCTTGAAGGAGAAAAAGCTACAACAAGACTGTCATCCAACATTAAGGGGCAATAGCAGATTACAAGCAATCTGAAGATCATGATGTTAAAATCATATCAGTGACTTCTCTTGATTCTGACTCTTTGTAGATATAGTAGTACATAGACTTGTGTTATCTGACTTAGGTGTTCTGGTGCTAATTGTTTTCTTCTCCGGTTTAAAGTTTTTTTGCTGTAACACATACTCGATGAAGGCAAACTTATGCATTTGGTATCAAAATTTGAACTCTCTGAACATCGTGGATTTTCTTAATTTGTGGATGCTTCTAGTAAAATTGTTCTGTTCAGCCAGGACATCTAATTGTGTGTGGACATCACCTGTGGGATGCCTATTCCAAAATGCTTTTCTGGATTTGGATAATTGCTGGTTTGCAATGAAAATGTCAGTGCTAAAAAGTGGCCGTTTTCTACTAAATATAGTTTATAGTACTTGATGATTACGTGTCATTGGTAGGTAACTCAAGACTTTTGTTTCTTATCACTTGATAATAAGTTTTAGATGAGCGTCACTCGTTCAATAATTTTCTTGATGTTGTCATAACATAGATTTTTGCGTATTATCTATTTGGATTTAATTTCATACTTTTTTTTATTTGTACTAAAGAGCATATTATTTAAAAATTATGATTGGAATTGCGTTGTCTCATATTCGGCTGCACCAAATATATGCCATGATATTTGCTGGTCACTTAGAGACGAGCCTTAAAATAAATTACAGAAGGCAAAAGGTAATTAATAGCACTAATTCATCGAACAAAAGTGACCGTTTCTTCCACATCCTACGTTTTCAAGTTATGTATGCATTCCTAAGGAATACACTAGTATTTCATAAATTAATAACGTTTTCAAGTTATGTATGAATTCCTAAGGAATACACCAGTATTTCATAAATTAATAACGTTTTCAAGTTATGTATGAATTCCTAAGGAATACACCAGTATTTCATAAATTAATAACGTTTTCAAGTTACGTATGAATTCCTAAGGAATATGATAGAAGATAAGATTTCCCCAATGATAGAAGATAAGATTTCTATATCTCTCTATTCTGTTGAGAAAGATCCTCTATTCTGTTGAGGGAAATCCTTTCTCCTAATCTATATAAATAGGAGAGGGAACATGTTAATGTATGAAGCTAAAGCTATTTCATTTCTACAATAAAGCTTCTTCAA